TGAATGAAACAGACCAGATACAAAACAAAAGGGAATGGTACAGATTGTGGCAAACTAGAGAATGTTTGAGTTGCTTTAAAGTGTTCAAGTTTAATTTCTTATAAAAGTATTGTGCAGGCCAAATTCACCCCTCTGGGGACAAGATTTTGGCTTCTGGTTAAAGAGACCCAGGATGGGGTGCTTAGAACTTGATTGGTTCTTTGAACCCTACAGTTCAGTGCATTTTTACCTCCATACCACTGACTTATAAAGACAAAGCCAACATCTTGAGAAATCAGTTCGATTAAACAGTGATTGCGGGGCAGCCAAGCTGTCATTATCCTGAGGCCTGGTCATCAGTTACAAAGCTAATAAATACCAAGAAGCATATTGGTGGTATTTCAGAGGCTTACTCATATAGTTCTCAGATGATCGCACAAAGAGGAATGTGTGTGGCTTAATGAGAGCCAAAAAGTAACCCAAACAAGCACATGGCTGAGGACTCTGCCAGATAACCAGCATGACATAGAAAAGCTTGGAGATTGGGGAAGGAGAGAGCACACATTTCAATGCTTGGAGATGGCCTCCCCTACCTCCAGCAAGCTGAAGTGGCCTTAATACTGGTTGTTCTCTAAATTGAAGAGTAGCTGACTGTCCTTGCCAGGTGGTAGACAACCTCAATTTATGACTCACTTATTATTTTCACTTGGGTAGGAGACCAAATGAAGAATATCTAAATAAATATGAGGAGGCAGGAGCCAGTACTAACAGGCTCTTGGGGACAAGAGGTCAAAAAGCCTCCACCATTCTAAGAATGAGTTAGCCAACATTATCAAGCCAGAAGGAACTATTTCTTGAGCAGTTACCCTCAGGAGAGCCATTTGCAAGGCATGCTGGGGAGGCAGAAAGGAAGGGAAGAAGAGGTCTCCACCCAAGGAAGTTTACAATCTGGGGTGACAAGGACAGAGGAGAAGTAATGCAATGACTGTAACTTAGGGCAAACCCAAAGTCAGAAAGGTGACTTCCCAGGTCTGCTAGGATGCAGTCAGAGGAAAATCACACGAGGTCTGAGGACTTGGCTCCTGAGGAAAGGGATGAGAGGAGCAAAGAGAAGGTCACAGAGACCCTTTTGGTTTTGATAAGCCCTTGGGTTGAGTCCCTTTGAGTTGAGATAAATAACTAACTTGCAATGAGTGCTCCCATTACTCCAGGTAGCTTGGAAGGGTTTGATGTGTATTAACACTGAGAAGAGCACAGCACCCTTCTGAGGCCAGTTCTGTTACCATCCCCATTTTACACGTGAAAAGACAGAGGCACTTGGAGGTTCAGTCCCCTGTCTGAGGTTATGTAGCTTGTGTAAGTGGCAGGGCCGGGATAAAAGCCTGCACTTTGGTCCCAGAGCCCAGGCTATTAATCTCTCCTCCAGCTGTCTGTCTTCAGGTGACAGTCCTGGGATTTCTAAGTAAGGGAGGGAAGGACAGGGTGGAAGGGAAGATGCAGAGAATTAGCACCAATACTGGACCAAGTGCAGCAGCTCAGGAGTGTGCAGGCTTCGGGGGCTGGCATCCCAGGAAGAGAGCTCAGCTCTCAGGAAAGGAGGAATTGATTCTCCAAAGATGACTAGCATTTCCACTGACTAGGCATTATTTCCCCTTGAAAGGAGTTCTGCCTTAAAAATGAGTCTGTGTTTTGTACAATGATGGAGAACTTTTAATAGGGGTAGAAACTTCGTAGAGGACCTAACAGACCAACAGTCCTAAGGGAGGCAACACACGGACATAATTTGCCTACCAAGTGGCACTAGATGGAGAGCACTGGACTGTCAGCAGGGTGAGGAGGAGGAAGGGGAGAGGAAGGAGGGCTTAGGGGCCCTGTAGTGGGACGAGGAAGGAGGGCCAGGTTGAGGACTGTGGGAAAGAAAATTGTGTTCTGTTTTATGACACCGGCCCACATCTGGATGCTGATGGCATTCAGAGCAAGGAGAGAAATCTGTCCACTGAATGAAACAAAGGCTGGGAAGATATTAGTAGGCAGACACTGGTGAGTGTCTGCTCAGTTCCTGTTTCCCTCCTCATCCCACAGACGGACAGGCTTTACCATAGGGAGTTGTTTTTAGTCACAGATTTGGGGCAGCATCTATAGCTTCTCTCACTTACAGTCCCATCTGAGGCTCTTGGGAGTGGCAGTGAAAGGGCCTTTCTGTGAAGCCATGAGAGTGAGAGAAAAGTCTTGAGTCATGGGGCAAAGATGCTAAGGCTCTGAGAGGTGTTGGAGAGGAGAGGATGTGCTTTAAAGACAAAGACAAGGCAAGTAGGGGAGGGGTTGAAGGAGGGAAGGGAAGAAACAGGGAGGGGGGCTGTGAGTGCCCTGCACTTGCAGTGGCAATGGTGTCTCTTCATGGCCTGGTTGGTGTGATAGTTGCAAAGTTGGCTAGTGACCATCCTGCTGGGTCTACCAGAGTCCTTCCAAGGTACATCCCCCCCGGGGACACTGCTGCACCAGGGACTGTGGATGTACCCGCAGTGTGCAGGAAACCCAGCTCTCAGGTCTGCAGCCCCAGGCAGCACCCTCTGGGAAACAAGGCCATGGGAAGCCTGGTCGTTACCCTTTTGGTGGTCTGCAGAAGAAGCAGAGGGAAACCCCAAGACTTGTTCTTCCTGTCCCCAAAGTGTGGGGACAGCAGATGATGTAAACAGCCTCCAGGTGCCAGACCAGGGGGCACGTTGGGGGCTGCCACCCCAGGGGACTGCAGCTCCTCAGGAGGACAGTAAGTCTAGGGTTGCTGGATTTTTTTAGGAAAAGTGGCCAAACAAAACATTTCTGCAGGCCTGATTGAGCGTCCAGGCCACCATTCAGCTACATACTCTCATTAATTCTATCAGTCCAGCCACAGTTAGACCTCAGTAGCATCCCTCAAATCTCACTGGTCTAACATGGAGAAGCTTATTTCTTCTATAAAACACATGTGCAACATTGATTGGTGGGGCGGGAATGGGGGTAAACATTGCTGGGGTATTAAGGGACCAAGGGTGCCATCTCAACAGGGCCTTTCTGCAGGGGGATTAAGAATGTGGAAAATTAAGCATTGGCATTTAACACACATCATTTGCACGTACACGCCATTGGCCAAAGCAAACTGCATGGCCACACTCAACTGCAAAGGTTGGGGGTGCTGAGAGCCTAAAAAAAGAATTGAAATATGGAAGAACTGGAATGTGAATCAATGACATTCTTTTTAACAAAGACCTTCGCCTTGTTAACGTTGGATATCATTTGTTCCTAAATAAGATGCTACTTAAAAGTGTAGGTACTTTGTGGAAGGTCAGGGTAACTGCAAACTCACTTCCCCATTTTTCCTTCCACTTCAAACCCACCTCTGCCTGTTAGCTGAGATGGTGAAGACAAGGAATATGGGCTGCCACGTTAGGAGGAAAGGAAACCCAGAAACATACTCTGTGGCCATGTGTCCTGTCTACAGGGCTTCTCTGCTCAGTCCATTTTCCCTAAAGCTTCATCTGCCAGCAGGGAGTACCCCCACCCTCAGGCCTCGTTGGGCACCTTTGCTTTCCTGGGTACTTCCCGTGGAGTTATTTCTACCCAAGCATGTGCAGGCCCAAGCTGCCTGCAAGCCCAAAGAATCATCTCTTGTGACTCCCCTTCTTAAACAGCCTCCAATTAGACCCCACTTAATGGCACCTCCAATTTGACTGTCTGTCCAACATTCCACAATGCATGGGAATTCTCCCAGACATTATTCCTGTTTTTCCCATCCTCAAAACAAGGAGCGGAGAATAATGCATGATTGAAAACTAGCCACCAAATGTTAAAAAAAAATAAATTTGCAGTTGTGTTGCTTTGAAAACTTATTGCACAGCTGGGGGCATTTAAGGAACTTAATTAACAAGCCTTGGCCGCAATGTGCCCCCTCTTTGGAATGGGAAAAAAAATCACAGTTAAGATTTGTCCAATTAAATTATAGGAGAGTTGGTGGATTCAAAGAGAGAGAGGATGGGGGGGATGCACTTCTAATTTAAAAAGGAGATTTTTAGTGTGATGGGAGACCTATAGTCTGATTAATTCAGTGCTAAGCTTTTCTGCACAGTTTCCACAAACTCATAGGCACTGAAGAATTTTTAACCCAAATGTAATTATAGGTTTTAATAATCAGGCTTTAGTTAAATAAAATCCCTCTTTCCTATAAAAACTGAGGACCGAATATTCTGTTGTAAGGTAAGCTCTCGCAAACCTCGCTTTTCCTCACGTCCATAGAGAACTCCATCTTGCCTAGAATCAGGGCCACATTGTGACTTTAGTGCACCCTATGCCTTCATCGGTCCCTTCCTCTATGAAAGCATATTAAAAATTATATTTTACAGCTACATTGGTATGAAGTTGATTATAATTCAGATGGGATTCATTCATGCTATGATTATGTTCATTTTCTTTACTTTTAATTTTAAAAAGAAGTTAAAACTAAACCATTCTCATGGGGCCCTGGAAGTGTGGTGGACCCTAGACACAGTGCGTAACGTGTAAGTCAGCCCTGCCTGGAGTTTCCCATTATGAACCCGGAGAGGAACCTTAGGGTGCCAACTGAGAACAGGTTCAGAGTAATGGTGACGGTGTCACAATTCATGGCAATGCAATTCATATCAGCCTAGATGAAGTAATTTTCTTTACAGCAGATCAACCTCCCAGTCTCCCAGCCTACACCCCCTGACACGAAAAAAAATTGTTATTCTGACATCATTGGTCTGAAAGAATACCCAGTACAGTATGCACTCTTGGGATGACGAGTTCGCTGCCTTTTCCTAGGGGGATGCTCAGCCGAAGACAAAAATGCGTAAGGGCAGCAGAGAAAATTCATTTGTATAAGCTGGCCCCCCTACTGTGGAATTTTCAATTATATATATCTAATTATGGCTGTCAGTTGATGGATTCAGAAAAGACATTTTGGTTCCCCCCTCCTTTTTTTTGTCTTTTCGTCATCTCTTCTGTTAGAATGATTATAGCACACTTACACAACTAATTGCCTTACTGCTGATTAGTGATACAATTATGCAGACCCGGCTCCTTGTGTGAACAACCATCTGCAGAGAAAAAAAAAGTGACACTATTCAAAAACTATCCATAATTTAACCAATGTTATTCCAATGCACTGAGCCCAGACAATCGTCTAGCCTTCATATTTCATACCCACCCTGGCAAGAGGAGCTTGCGTTTTGTGTGCCCAATTCACCTCTTTAGACACACTGTGAATCGGAAAGAAAGAGGAGAGAAGAAAGTACTTCAAATGTCAACCCATAGTGGGGAATTGAAGCGTGGTTAACATCCATTCCTCCTTTGGGTAATTTTTCTTCAAATTTTATACCACTTGGCAATTTTTTGTTTCCTTTCAAACTGCTGAGAAAGTGCAGATGTTTGAACTCCCCAAAGTGGGCTTGGATTTGCTGAGGTTTTTGTGGACAGCTCTCCCCAATCCTTTTCTCTCCTTTCTCCCCATAATGTTTTTAAAAAAAAAAAAAAGAAAAGAAAAAGAAAGGAAAAAAAGGGGGTTTTAATAGAACTGAAGGATGTGGGCTGACATATGATGTTTCAAGAAAGTGTGTCTTTTGTTCTTTAAGGCAAAGTGACCAGGACATCAAATTCCAAGACCTCAGGGACCGCAGGGAGAGTACAGGTGGACGGGCCGGACACTGTTTGCCCCAAGGAGTAAACAAAGACGGCGGCTTGGTCTTTCCCAGTGTGTGAGGCAGGATCAGCCCTGTCTGCCCCGGGGAGAGCCCGCAAGAGGCAGGAGGGTTCAGACCACAGAGCAAGTGCCAGAGTCTCCTCTACTTGTCACGTAAGACTGCAGGTGGTCAGTGCAGATAAAGGAAAAGTCTGGGGTCTCAGAGTGGCTGGGCTCTCCTCTCCTTAGATGTTGATGAAGAATGACTTTCTAGAGCACAGAAGGGTGCTGGGCATCAATGAGAGACCCTTAGGAAGATGCCCCAGAGAATGAGATGTCTGTAGGACACCTATCTCACCAGCAGGAGACAAGATGAGCGATGGGGGCCTGGTGCTGAGAGCTTCATGTGGGGGAGCCTCCTCTCAGGTCTCAGGCAGGGGCGTCCACTGAAAGCATCACTCCCGAAAGCTTGACACCCAGCCCCTGAGAGCCCCCCATCATCCAGACCATGCCTGTCAGCCAGGCCTGCCCAGGCTTTCACGCCCATGAGTCAGCCATGCCCACTTTGCTTTCATTCTCCTCTGCTCCGGGCTCTCGAGCAAGTGAAAGCTTCATACGCAGTGTGCTTTTCTGCAGTTGGAAAGCAGAAATTTTGATCTCTTGCTTCTTCTGAACTTCTCAAAACCAGGGAGGACTGAAGTTTGTCAGGGTGATCCCAGGGCTATACCCTGAAATGGGAAAGGTAAATATATATCTGGGAAGTTTCATTGTCTTGGGTATTTTGTGATAATAAAACTAAAAATGTCAGTGAATATTTACTGAGAGCTTACAGTATGCCAGGCTCTTTTATGTGCTGTATATTAACTGCTTCATTTGATCTTCACCAAATCTTCCAATGGAAGATACTTTGATTATCCCACTGTATGGAGGAGGATCCTTCAGATTAAGAGTTACGTAACTAAGGCAGGACCCACAGCTAACTGCTGAGAGAGCAGTGATTCAAACTGAAGCCTAATGCTCTCCACAGCCAGCACTCTGAACTAGAAAGCAAGACCAACATCTCCTTCATGCCTTAAAGAGTGTTTGTTTGTACAGAGAGGACATGGTAACTTTGTTAACCGGAATGTTTGTTGAATGACTAATGAAAGGAAAGATGGAAGGAGGGAGGGTGTATGGGAATGAGAGAGAGACAGGGCAGGAGAAGAGAGGTGTGGAGGGAGGAGGCTACCGCCTTGCGAGCAGCGTACTAGGTGGGGCAGGGCTCCATTGGTGTTCCACTCCCCTTTCTCCGCCAACAAGCACACTGACCTGGGGCAAGCTGCCAGACATCTCCATGGGTCCACACCATAGAAAAAGATTTGGGGAAGGATGTGACTCTCCTCCCAAAGAGCCTCTCCAGCCCCTCTAGCAGATCCTAGTATCTCCTTCTCCAGGGCTTGCATAGATCTCTGAGTCATCCGACAGAGCTGCCCAGTACTATCTGCAGTTCTTTGATCCTACCATGGGCTTTGGTCTTGCCAACTGCTTTGAGTGTAAATGCTGAGAGGGCAAGAATCTCCTTTCCTCCCTTCCTTTTCTTCTTCTTCCCTTCCATCTCATCTTCCTCCTCCTCTACCTCCTCTCTTTTCCCTATAAGGATTAACTGAGTGCCTATTTGGGGTCAGCACTAAGTCTGCTCCCATTTCTTTTAAGTGTCCCCCCAAAGAGCTGAGGCTCATTAACTAATCCCAGTTGGTACTGAATACATGCTTGGCTAATTGATCAAAGGCAAAGTTCCTCACTATAATCACTCTAGGAAAAAGTAAAAGCGTTCATTGGTAGGGAAGATGGCACCTTTGGAGCGTGGCAACTCACATGCAGGAGACCACTGGTAAGTGTGTGCCCTCCTCCTTGTTCTTAATCTCTGACAAAGGGAGAAAGGATCACTGATGACATGGTGTACATGTGAGATTGGGGTAGAGGTGGTTCTCATCTGAGTGAATTCTGGAGAGTTCACCCCACTGAATCTAAGTACCAGGGATCCAGGCCCCAGTGAAAGCTTAGATGTGTAGAGTTTTATGACTAAGAAACCATGTAGAACCTTCAAGCGAAAAAGACCAAGAGTTAAGACCCTTACAGATCAAGTGACTTCACACCGTAGTGAACTTTAGTTTGTAAAGTTGGATTGTCAACCTGGAGCCTCCCCACTAAGAACAGTCAGGAGGAGAGTCCCAAGCCTAGAACCTACTTTTCCCTTTCTTCTACAAAGATAGGTCCCAGGATAGCCAGATTTATCTGAAACATTCCTAATGCTCAGATGACAAATCAGGTTGCTCAGTGTGGGCACATAGGTCTCTGAGTGACACTGTGGCATTTTTGTGTGTTGAAAATGAGGAAGGATAAGTACAAATGTTTAGAAGTGAAAGGGTCTCAGAGGCAAACTAGTCAACTCTTCACCAGCATGGATAACAATGGAAGCACCAGCCTTCTTGGTTACTGGTTTTGTTTTGTTTTGTTTTGTTTTGTTTTGTTTTGTTTTGTTTTCTCCTTTGTCATCCCTGGTTCAAACTAAAGAGTTTGGAAGACTGTTTCTTGATCCTTCATGCTCTCCTTCTCCTGGTGTGATAGTCGATGTATGTCAGGAACCAAAGATGACCTAGCAGCCCCTTGATCCACCCACCTAGCCAAGGAGCAGCTATACAGCCAGCCATTTAAACAGCCACCCGTCCACCCATTCATCCATCTATCCATCCAACATCAAATTAACTTCCACATACCAGGCATTAGAGGTGGCACAAAATCCGAAATACAAAATCGACTCTAGTCCTATCTTGAAGACGTTAGTGGTCTAGTGGGGATAAGACCCCACAATATACAAGTATTATCATAACACCAAGTGTTAAAGGATATAACAGCTGTGCTCATAATGCTAAAATAATATAAATGAGATTTATTGAGCACTTGCTATATTCCCAACTCCATTCTAAGCTTTTTATACACTTACTCTCATTCAAGCCTCACAATGGTCCTATCAGATAAGTATTGTAACTTCTCTCCTTTTACAGGAAAAGAACTTGTTCCACATTGCACATCTATGAAGAGATGGAGTCATCTCTTGAAGCTGGGCAGTCTGTGTCCACACCTTATGCTATTAGCCAGCAAGCTACTCACCCACTACATGGAATCACTGCTGAAGAAAGGTCTCAAAGGGAATTTGCAAAGTTTCCCCAGAGGGGGTGACATTTATGCTAAGCCAACAAGGATTGGCAGGACATCCCCAGAGAAAAAGAAATCAAAAGTCACTGTAGGCAAATGCTCAAAGATCATGGAGGCCAATGAGTGTCTCTGTGTGCCCAGGGAGGAGCAAGCGGTCCAGTATATGTGGAGTCGCCAAGGCTTACGTGTGTGATGGATTCTGAGACAACAGAGATAACAGCAGCCATGCCATCTTCTGGGGCACCTGCTCTGCTGCCCGCTGTTGTGATGATACATGTTCTACCCCTCCTATTCTCACAACTCTCATGGGATAAGAACCGTCACCCTCACTGGAGACATTCAAGCTCAGAGATGTCAAATGATGGGCTCAAGTACACATAGCTAAGTCAGCTTCTTAAACAAGAATGGCCTGACCCCCAAGTTTATGCATTAAAGAGGTTAAGAGCCTGGACTCTGAAGTCAGACATCCTGGGACAGAAGTTCCAGCCATGCCACTTACTAGTTACTTGGGCCAGTTACCAAATCTCACTGTGCCTCAGTTTCTTCATCTCAGTAGGGACAATCATCTTACCCAATCTGTCTTAGGGCTATTCTGCAGACTCCAGGGGATAATGCATGCAAATCACAAAGCGTGATGCCTGGCACTGTCTTTAATAAAGGTTTGCTATTGTTGATGTTATTAAGTTGGGGTCCATTTTTTAGGGACATCTAAGTGCTGTTTAAAGTGAGAGAAATAACTGAGTGTTCATGAGAAGAGTTCCTGGTTTGGTGATAGAGAAGTTGACAGTCACCACCGTCTGGCCCCAGCACAGGAGTGGAAAAAGGAGAGCTCTAACCTCAGGCTTTTTCAGCTCAAAGGAGCTACAGGCTCCTCTGATGACTATGAAACAATTCCCAAGCCCTTCCTTAAATATCCAGTGAACAGCTCTGGGGCATTTTGACCTTGGCCCAGGGATGATATGATGAGCTTCTCTGTGCCAGGCCTCAGACTGAGAGAGGGGAACATTGCCTTATGAGGAAGCCCATGCTGACTGGATTTTGGCCTTCTGGTCAACGAAACCCCAAGGTTTCATGTTTCTATGCAGAGCTGATTCAGTTTTACCCCAGTCCCCAACTTCCAAACATAGGCCCAGTGCTCTCAAGCAAATGTGGGCTTTCTGTGTCAAGTACATTGGGCAGTAGAACAGTATGAATCTATTTGTATTTTCTCCATGGGAGAATGTC